AGCTACACGGAAATCTAGTATGACTTCTTGTTGCTCTAAAGGAAATGAGCTTCCCTGACTCCCCAATGGCTCTTGCCATTCTTCTTCTTTGCTTAGTAGCCGCTCCTGGCTGTGAGTATCTTCCAGGTAGACCTGACCAATGAGATGAACCAAAAACAAGGTTGTGTTCTAATTCCTGCTTTGTCATTTGTTTAGATGTCCACTCTTCTGTCCAACTTGTGGAATCTGGGCCAGGAAGAGTGAGCCCTGGAGGATCCTTTAAATTAACGTGCAAAGTGACAGGGGACTCCGTCACAAATAGATACTGGGAGTGGATCCGCCAGGCTCCAGGAAAAGGATTGGAATGGGTGGGCCAGATAGACTGGTATAGCAGTAACTGGAGGACATACTATGCCTCATCCCTCCAAAGCCGAACAACGCTGACAGCCGATTCCTCCCGCAATGAATTCTATTTGACCATGAGGTCCCTGACAGCTGCAGACTCAGCCACATATTACTGTGCACGAGCGTCACAGTGAGAGAAAGCAAAGGAGGAAGTGTGAAAAACCTCTGGGCCTTTCTCTGACTAAACTTTATGCATTCACATGAATGGATTGAGATAACTTAATACCTTTTTTCAGTCTGCTCTTCTCTACAGAGAGGAAGAAGCTAGTCTTCCAGGTCAACAAGAAGTCATACTAGACTTCCGTGTAGCTGCTTGTATTCAGAAGACACACAGGTTTCTATTGGCGTCTTCATTCTTTTTCTCTTTCTTTTGTTTCCGTTTCCCTAATATTTTCGAGGTCCGGCCGCAACATCATTGTCATGGAAAAAGGAGTAAGAGATGCAGGACTCTGTAAGTTGGGTTGATTGTAAGCCCAAGGAATCTTGTGACCTTTTCTCTTCCCTTTCATCCTTGGTATGTCCATGTGTGTTTTGGTTTTCCATTGAGGACCATATGGAAATGTGATGGCAGGAATGGAAGAATGTGATCAGTCAATGTTCACAATTCTATTTCATAAATAGCAGTTTGACACATTACCTCTGAGACTATGAGTATCTTCTGGTACTTAATAAACAAGTGTGTGTGTATTTGTGTCTGTGTATGACTGTGTATCTCTGTGTTACACACACAGATGTCTGGCTGTTGCCCCCCCCTTTCTCTCTCTCTCCCTCCCTCCCTCTCTCTCTCTCTCTGTATATGTTTGTATATATGTGTGTAAATATATGTATACTTCATCGTTAAATGGATATATTAAATGTTCACAAAATGAATACTTATGAAGACTAGTACCAATGAATACTGTATATCTTGAGGTGGTCTTTTTAGCTCATTCCATTCTATTGAGCTCATTCCATTCATTCTGCAAAGTCTAGAGAACTTCAGATCAGAAACGTTTTCCCAATCCACATTTTCATACTTATATAATGAAGGTCTCTTCAGATCCCAAGTCTGATGGCTCCCTTCTATCTCCTTTTGCATAAGGGAGCAGCTGTGTCCAACAACCTAACATTCTTCACTTAACACAAATAAAAGTGTGGTTTCAGCTTTTGGCCAGATGGTTTCTTCTTGTTCTTCCGAATTGTCATTCAAGAGGTCCCTGGAAACCATCCTTCTGCAAGAGAGTTTCTATAATGCCTCTCTACATTTCTATCTCTCTCTCTGTTCCTCTGCCCCTCTGTCTTTCTGTCCGTGTGTCTCTATGTCTCTCTCTCTCTGTCTCTTTCTCTCTGTGTCTCTCTGTTTCTTTCCCTCTGTCTCTCTCAGTGCATGTATCTATCTATCTATCTATCTATCTATCTATCTATCTATCTATCTATCTATCTATCTATCTATCTA